CGATACATTTCTGCAGCCGTGTTGGCTCCCAGCAGCCGCAGTCACTTCTCCAGGAGCCTCAGCACGCCAGTGCAGTCCACCCGTGTGGAAGGCACCTCGAGTTGTGATCAACACATTGCTAAACTGCAACTGCCGCCGCACGGTGGCAATTTCCTCACGAGGATCCCCTAGGCTGCCAACCCGTGTTGGGGACCTCCTCCTCTATTTTGTGCGCGCGCCATTTCGGCCACTTCATGGCATACCCGGCTGATCCATGGGCCATGAGTGAAGATGAAGAGGACGCTGTCATGGAAGGGGGAACTCTGGACATCACAGGTGAGTCGGAGGATGAGCATGGGTGGATCACCCAACAAAAGAGGCAAGTTTTTTTGGCATGGTTGCCCCCATACTGATCATCTAGCCAAAACGCAGGCACATCAAGCCCTTGATACTAACATTGGTACGTGCCGAATTTCAGACGTTAGGTCACAGCCGGTAGATAGAGACCCCGGATACCCAGCGGCACTGACACATGGTCATGGCCCTGACACTGCTGCTATCATAGAGTGTTTGCTACGGCGCAAGGATCTCATTGAGGCTTGTGGCATGATTTACATGATTGTTGATAATCGTGCGCTGGAGGAGGTAGGACACTGGCCAGCCTTTGCCCAGTGGTGGGCGGCCAGAAGAACCCTGGTTGGCCCTCAACAGGAATGTACTGATGTGGTGTGGGTACAAGCTACCCATGCTAATGGCTTGCAATCAATTCCCTACTACTGGGCTGGTGTCTTTGTCTTGGAAGCGGCGAGATTCCTGTTTCCGCAAGTGCATTTTGGACTTGTTGACAATGATTGTGTCCCAGTTACCCTGTTCGAAGTGCAGGACCTTATTGCCTTAGCTGAAAGTCAGTTTCAATGGCCCCAACTGACAGGGTTTCGAACCGATCCTGACCTTGCTCAAAACAAGACTGGCATGCTGCTTTTCACAGAGGCGCATTTGGAGTATAATGCTGGCCTAGTCATCTCAGTTGGCAGCCCTAATCGCCCAAGTCCAGTTGAAGCAACGTCAACAGCAGAAAGCTTGGCAGAAGAGCTTGAAGATTACCGCCAGCAGCTGCTGGCCATGGCGGCTCCCCCGGAATGCCCAACTGAAGCTTCGCAAGGGGGGTCCTTGTTCACCCCGCTTCTTGGAGTCCCAATGGAGCATTCGCTGGACCTGGCAGTAGTGTGGGCCCTGTATGGTACTTATATGTGTCACCAATTTTGGCCGATTCCAGGCAGTGCCACAAGTGCCAACAGTGACCCGCAGAATCTGTCGGCAATTAACTGGCCAAAACGTGCGCACCCAGGTGCCCTGACGGATGCAGGCCGAGAGCGCACCCTTGGCTCACTAGCTGGGCTCGTGCCACCTTTGAACAAGGCTGCCTGTCTGTCTTGCCGCAGTTAGAAGGTCCTTGTAAAGCAATATCCCTGCCTGGAGAGCACCTGTTTCAGGCCAGTCACATTGCGCCAGATTTTATGCGCCCTGTGATCTTTCATGCTTTTGGAAAAGCAAAGCTGGATGCAAGGGAACAGCTGGCGCGATTAGCGAGACTTGGATGGGAAACCCTACCAATTGCACTTCTAGGCATGCCTCACTACCCAGCTGCGTGGTCCCGGGAGACATGGAAACCCATAGGTGGGTGCTGCTTTACGGGAGGGCCAAGTGTGCTCACTGGCAACAGCGCATTTCGATTCTCCCTGCTACTGCAATGGCATGCCATTTGGGTTCCACCCACAACGCTTTTCCCGACGGCCAGGCATGCAGAAGACTCGGATGTGGAGTCGACCCGGACTGTTTCTGAGTCTAATCAGGCCCTCCTTGAACGTTCGCTACTGACGGCAGCAGCGGACAAGGACTCCCGTGAGTCGGGTCCAGTTTGCCAGAGTCACCTCAACAGGGAGAACAGTTGAATCGACGGGATCGATGTCGCCCTGCCAACCCACAACTGGCCACACCGCCCCTTTTTGTGCCATGGCAAGAGATTGCAATGCAGCTCGGCATCCCTGCTGAACATGAAGCCCCGACCGAAACTCTCCGTGATATGTTCCAAACAGCCCTGGGAATCCTTACGGTTGATGAACAAAGAGAGTTCCACCAGTTGCACGGCGCCACCTTTAGTCAACTACCTCACAATAGAGCGCCGGTGGAAACAACTGCACTGCAAATCTTGTGCTCTATGTATGATGTGCACCCCTAAAGATCCCACTGGGAAACCATTCTATGGCATATGGTCCCTCCCTAGCCCCAGCCGATCGGTATAGTGGCCAGGTTACGGAAGTTGCAGCAGGCCACACGTCTAGCCTTCATGAGCTGGTGACCTTACTGTCGCACACCGCTAACCCCTGCGAGCGCTGGGAAGCACTTGGCTATGGGCGCGCTGCTACCCTATACCGCAGAACACAGATTGTGCTGGCAGCTTCAAGGCAGGTGCCGGCCCACCGACGAGTTCCCCATGCCGCATTCCTAAGTGGTCTATGGTGGAAGCTTTTATCCTTCCAGCCAGCGCGCATCCTCATGCGTCTGCCGTACTTAGAGCGAATAGGGAACCGTACTATCGCTGCTAAGCTGTACGCTCCCACCAGATTTCATGTTGAAGGATTCAGTGCTGGTAGTTACACTGGAGCTACCATTGTCATTGGTCTGTGTGCTTTGTTTCCGGAATGTCCCATGTCGGCTACACTTGGTGCCATTGCCATGCCCAAAGGAGTCATGGGAGCATTGATGGAAATAGCATCCCCGGGCCAATGTGACATCCATTTGATACACGCTGAGGATGACCTACTGTGCGATTGGCACCCCAGTGTCACTGACAGAAGGGTCATAGATTATCGTCTCCGATGCACAGTGGTTGCAGAGGCTGACAAGTGGATGGGCACAGACAGGCACAGATATTGGCACTGGCTCCATTGCAATCTCCCGGAAGGGCGATGGCCCCTCTCTGCACTTAAGCTTAGTCACCCACAAGTCATCCCCATTTGGGACAGAATGGCAGCGCCACTGCGGCTAGCGTCCTGGATTCGTTTCGAGACAGTGATGAATCAGCAGGACTCGCGCACTGCGATTGAACGACTAGTACCGCAGATCCACCGACCCGGAGCTCCTCGCCCTATTGCGCAGCTGTGTGCCCGAACAGGAGATCTCATCCATGGCAGAAGCACAAGCACTACTCTTGTGCAACTTTCGAGTAGGCAGCAGTGAGCCAGATGCTTGTGAGCAGTGGCTAACAGAGGTAACGCGGGATCTGTTCAAGCCGATCCCTTTCAGGGAGGTCTTTGTTATCCTCGCCCTTTTCCTGCCCCAATTGACCTTTGCAGAAGGTGCCAAATTAGAATGCAAGCTGTGGTACAGCCCAGTCATAAGCAATGAGCTGACCATGATTCATGTCACGCCCATCGCACAAGGTCTCCAGGGTATGCGCGAATACAAGATCGCCTTCCCTCACAACTCGAGGGCAGCGGCGTTTGTCTCGCCTGAACAACCGGTCCAGAATTTCGACTCTTTAGCTACGCTGTCCTCTGAGCAAATCCACATCGGCAGCCAGGTTGGGAGGGTATACCGGCTTGTTCTTAGAGAAGGCAGCCAGGTCTTCGCGCTCTTGGTTGTGTTGCTTGAATATGTCACTCAACCCAAGAAGAGGTCTAAGCAGGGCTCCCTAGAATCAAAGGGTTTGGAGTGGCCCACAAAGAAAATCCAGCCGGACGGGCCATCACTAAATTGCTAAGTTCCAAACCTCTTCATCAGGCCGGTAGGCAAGGAAGAGGCAACCGCCAACACTGCCAGCACCAAATATGACAAGGCAATGTTCCATAGCACCGGCCTCATACCAGGGGCAAAAGTAGTTGTCTTTTCCACGAGTGCGGACGCCGTGTGGGCATGGTGCCCAGGTCATCGTTGAAGGAATGGAAGAACAGACAGATGGTGGAGAAAGGAACGAAGACCCCAAAACCAACCCAAACCAAACCAAAAACACAAGCCCGCAGGCCGAAACTCCACCATCTTGAAGTCTTCCCTCTACACCAGGTGAAACGTGTGAAACTGAGACTAGTGGCAATTAGTGGGCCTGAATTCGCAAAAGCAAAGGACTGCAGCGCAAGCTGTGTTCATGGAAAGCCGCCTAGGAGGCTTCAAACGGACTTTCTGCGGAAGCACAACAGACCTACAACCCCTTTACGCGTGCGCGTCCTTTACACGGCGAACTTACCAAAAACAAACACTTAACTAAAACCGCTCGCAAACTTACAAAACACAAGCACAAAAGATACGTATGTGTGAACGCAAACCGTGAAGCAAGTGACAACTCAACTTGCCAAGTTCACACGCTCTGGCTTCCCTTTTTCACTCACACACACACCAAGGAAGGTGTCTCGTGACCTTGTCTGGCGCTTTGCAACTTGTTCATTCGTCTTCCTTGAGCCAAGGAAAACGTGAGCATTCACTCCAAAACGTTCAAACTCCTACTAGCTCTCTTCAAAGCGTTTCGGAAAACTTGAAAGCGGTCTACTAAGACCAAAAATCACTGCATGGTACAAACTTCTCGTGTGTTGCGGCATTCATCCTCAAACAAAACAACCAAACGGATACTATCTCCGCTTGATTTGGCGCGCAAAGCCAAACAACCATAGTTGGGCTACATCACGCTTCAACCAAGACGGTCAAAAGCAAAGCCAGTGTCACAGTGCAGGGTATAGAAATTTCCACACCCCCTTTTGACAATGTGCTTTGCAACCGTTCCAGGTTTCTGATCTCCAATCACTCCTCACCAAAGGCCAACCAAAGTCGACAATTTCTTCACGGAGTGAAGTGAAGTATGCAAGCTGTACATACATATAGGCTTCCGAAGTGAAAATGTATTCATAGCCTTGCAACTTCAAATGACATATCCGATGTCGTTGCTTTCCCATACATCTCATTCCAGAATACATAGTCAAAAGCTGCGGAGATCCATCACGGATCATTGCCATGCTGCCCATACAAGTCACTTCAAGACTCGTCGTGTGACGGTTCCAGCATAGCATCCATGTGCCTCTGTTGCAGAGTACACCAACTCATATGCTGTGAGATAGGCCGCAAAATCTGCTGAAGGCCCCTTTGAGGTCTTCGAGGTAGGCGACAAATGGCTGCGACACCAATCCACATAGCTCTTCAAATCCTTGTTCTGCACTGCCTCAATGTATGAGGTATTCAAACCACGAAGCTTCCCGAAATCGATCACTGTGCGACCCCACTCATGAAATCCGCTCACCCCTTCTGGCAAAAGGTGACGGACCTTCTCATCAGGGTCCTGGCTTCCCATTGCCAACTCCTGGGTCATCCAACCTTCCGGAATGAAAGGCTCCTGCCCATCAACCAGCGAGAAGTCATCATCGTTCGAATCAACCTCGAGGCGTCTCTTCGATGCATCACTCATGCCACCGCGGCTTGGCAAGGGAGGTACGGCCGGAGTCAACTTGGTCTTTGCCGCGGCTTGCTTCTGAGCCATGAGCTTCTGGAGCTGTTGCTCATCAGCATCCGTCCATGGAGCTGCCTTTCCGGCCATGGCTTCAGCACTAATAGGCGCGTTGTGATGTTGTCAAAACACACACAAACAACACACCCAAAAAACAGAGCAGTGTCCTCAGCTTAGCCGAGAGTGTCCCTCGTCACAAGTCTGCATCTACACTTCACGTGACTGCACCTGTGAGCGAGCTTTCTAAAGCAACCTGCCTGCACGACACGGTCTACCTTCAAGTTTTGCACCGTATGCGCAAGCGATCCACGCTCCATAAAGTCCAAACAAAAAACAAACGAACACGTTCACAGTGCCCAAACAAACGGAAAGGTGTATTTGGACTGAATGAATGTAGCTTCCAAAAGTGCTAAAAGATTCGTTCAAACTGAACAAAAACATCATACATGGGTGATTCCACTGCAATTTGCCTTAGGCAACTCAGCTAAGTGCTCCACCCCCTTTTAAGCTCAAGGCCTTCTGAATTTCCATCCTCCATCTCATGATGAGATGATGTCTCTAAGACTCACACCTTTGTACAAGACTCAGGTTCTGTTTCCTGGCGTACCTGATTGCGTCAATCAATGCTCTAGCCAACTTCTTATTGTAGAATCCCGTTGCTGTGTGCGAGACTCCTGAAAGTTGCGCGTGTTCCACATGTTCACATGTCGAGAACTTATTCAAGTAGGCTGCAAAACTCTGTGAGAAAGTCTGAAATCTGAGTTCCTTGCCGACTGGTGTTTGGGCTCTCGACACAACTCCAAAACGACAGAGTTTCACGATTCCTTGAAAATGCAACCTGCATTCAGATAAGACAGCCTGGGTTTCTGGCTTCGACCAGTTCGCGTTGTGTGCTGGCAGCTCAAAACTTGCATCATGCCCCAAGTTGAGATATCTGGAAACCGAACTGATCAACTCTGGCCATTCCTGCTGAGATGCAGACAATACACTCGGATCCATCCGGAAGTTGTTCAGCGGCGATCCGCTGGTGCATGGAATCGATGCATGAACATGAACCCATAGACCACGTTGTTTCCAGGCTTTCACACAGTGTTGAACTCTTGAAAATGTACCTGTTGCCTGCATGTCTGACATGATACCTACATATGGAATCTTGGAGGTCTCACAAGCACATCGAAGCGATGAAAACTCAGCACAGCACACTTCAACAACTGCTAACTGGCAAGTGCGTTTCATTCGTTCCAACACGTCTAACTCTTGCTGCAAACACAGATCCAAAGACAAACCATCTATTGGTATTAGTCCCAAAGAAAACCGATGCCTGAAAAAGGCATTTCCACTCAGACATTTCGTAAAAATGTCTGAGGGGTTGTTGACTCCGGGTCTGTGTCGCAAATTCAACATCCCGGAACGCAGTTGTTCCCTCATCCAAAGCAACCTTACCTCCACATGTCGTGAGCGTTTGGGTACATCTAACGCTTGCACCAACTGTATAGCTGCACTGCTATCACTTTCCATATAGATGTGTACCACTTCTGGTTCGTCCGCCTCGTGCAACCCATATAACAGTCGGTGAACCAGTTTGGCGAAAGACAAACTCTCTTGACATGTTGTCTGAAGGGCATAAAGCTCTGCCTCACAACTGGACAGGCTAGTTGCTTGCTGTTGCTTGGACACACTGCGCACCAAGGCTCTCTCGAAGAAGATGGCACCTCCACTGATGCCTTTCCTCTGATTGAAACGATAGGGTGCATATGAAGCATCTGAAAAGGCATGTAGGTGTAGTGTTTTCCGTTGCTCTTCGCTTGTCAAACTATCAAGTGTCTCGTCCCTGCTCGGGATGCACAACCCTGTGTTCATGTCGTCATATAAAAACCGAAGCACTGCACGGAGGGATTGCTCCGTTCCGTGCATGGGTTTGGACTGTTGCGTTCCAATCACGGAAAGCCATGCCTTCAAATCATGACGCACCTGTGAAAGCCACAACAATCGGCCTAAAGCCCTTCTAAACCGAGAATACGCTTCATCACTCAACGGCTTCTGGTATTGTGACTCGTGCATGGTACGTTCCAAGTGTGTTGCAATATCAGGAACATTAGGGGACCCTTTTGTGATTCCAAATGCCTCAAACGTGGTATCTAGATAATGGGGGTCAACCGAAAGGAAGAACTCATTCTGTCCCTTTTCCTTACTGATCACTCGTCCAATGAAGGTGAGCGAACCGGATTCAGCTACGTAGCCTGTTGTCTTTGTAGGTACTACCGCCGAGATGATATCAACAATGTGTTGTTCAGCCTCAACGGTCGACGATGCAAGCAAGACGTCGTCCACATAGACAATTGCTAACGCAAAGCCTAGCGCCACACCATCTCCTGACGTGATCTCACCTGCATAGACACATGGCTCCAACTCGTCTGCCCACAATCCGGCCTGTTCAACTGTACTTGAAAGAAGCTGCAACCAACATAGGGACGCATCCCTGAGTCCGTTGAGGGCCTTCGACAAAATCAGGTAGCTTGGTTCGCCCGATTGCAAACTCACACTCAATGGCATCTTGAGTACAATCTTCTGCGCTGAACTGATCGGGGAGTTCATGAACGCGTGACCAACATCCAGGCTTCTCAACCGGAAACCTCGTGACGCACTGATCGCCAATACCAAATGCAATGCTTCAATGGAAGGTGTTGGACTGCTGTATCCCAAACTTTTCGCTGTGGCACCGTGATTGTAGTCTTTAGCAACTATCCTGGTTCTCACTCGTTCTGCACTCTTGTACGCTGCCACCCAACGCGAGTTGATTACGCGTGTGTTTGGGTGAGTCCTGGTCAGTTCTTTGATTTCTGCTTCGCCAGCGATGGTTCCAGTTTGACATTGTTGGAGGTTTGTCAATTCTTCTTTCATTCCTTCAAACCCTTGGTCAAGATTAAGTTCTTGTAGTGTTTGATCATCAACTATCGCATCTGGTTTCCACAGCAAGACTGTACTTCCTCCTAATTCCATAGAGACACTGTGGTGTTTCTTCCCAACATCAAACCGAACTGCATTTAACATTCCTGTAAACATGTCTGGTCCGGTAGCGGGCAAAAACGAAGCAGCACTCTCAAGAACATACAAACTGCTCAACAACACTGGTTCACCTGTCTCAACCCAAAACCAATCAAAAAGCAAAGCCTCCGACAAACAGTCTGCTGCAGATTCCCTGATCTCGCGCTCTAGTTCCTGAGTGTCTACTTCAGCCGGTCGCTTGAACCTTGCTTTATAGATATCTGCGGACGGGGTTTCTGTGTGTACTGCTGGATGGGTTTCTCGCTGTTCAAGTGCTTGTGAGCCAACTTGCGATGCACTCCCCGCTTGTGGTGTGGGTTCAGCCGTTGTCCCAGATTCGTCTACTGCCTGGGGAACAGTACTTGTCTCCTGATTGCGGGCCACACGCTCTTGTTGAAACGCCTGAAACCTTCGACGGCAACCTGCAGAATGACGAATCCCTGGGCAATCCATACCGGTTTGACACGCCGGGCAGTTTTGCGTGGGGGTGAACTGTTCCTCAGGCGGTCGCGCCTTCTGTTTGACATTTCTTTCAAACTCGGGACCTTCTTTCCGCGCATCGCCATCGTTATTCGTGCGTTCGGCAAATGAAACCTTCTTTGAACCTCTCTTGGCCTCTTCTATGCTTGTTTCAACTTCCTGGGTTATGGTTCCTTTTGTTTCTTTCCGTACACGTTCAGGCAATCGCAATACATTGTCTCGAGTTGAAGACGCTCTCGCGTTAGCTCGCGGCAACAGTTGAGGCGTTTGCAAGTCTTGACTTTTCAACCGTTGTAGTTCTTCCGGGGGCAATTCACTAAGATCCTGGCCTTCATGCTCCTGTGCTGCACGAACCTGTCTATCAACAATAGCTGTTTCTCCTGAACCTGAGTCAAAAGGAGCCAGTACATCTACTCCTAACTGTAACTTCCAACTCAACGGAACAATTGGTCGTACATTACGAGCTGTGAATCTGATCAATTCATGCCCTTCGTCCGTCCGTACAAATGCCTGCACAAGGGGTCCTCTGGTCAGTCCACAGTGCAGAAAACAAGCTTCAACATTCCGTGTCTCGTTTGGGCTCTTGTCTTTGATGCTACTAGGCAGCTCAGCTAACACACATGCACCATACAAAGTGGTTACTGGTTTTGACAGCTTCTTTCCTGCAATGGTTTCCAAAGGCGTTTGGTCAGTTCCCCTCGTTTTGGCAAAGTGGTTGTGACAAAGTGCACAGTAAGTAAGAACATCTGTGAGTCCGGCTTCTGAGAACACTATGTCAACAGATTGCGCATTCAAGTCTGCTCGAAGGACTGCCAAACTCTCTTTCAGTTCCCGGACCGCACGTTCGGCGCCTCCAACTGCTTGGTGCTGTTGCGGCGCTGCTCTCCGCACAACAAATGTGTACTGTCTGACGGACCGACCGACCAACTCGCTTACACTCAGTTCCGCGTCTGTGTGCAAAGTGATGGACGTTCGATGGGAAACAAGTCCAAAATGGTCCAACCATGTCCCAATCTGTCGTCTAGTCCTGTCTAGGTTTGGTCCAACAATCACATAACCGATGGCGCCTGACATCATTTCAGTCAAAACCAATACTTTCATGGCATGCGCATGTTCTTCTCTAGATACTTCTCCTACTTGACTGAGAAATGCAAAGTCTGCCTGCACCTCTACTTCTCGTCCTGCGCCTCGTTTCCGGCGATGTTGGAACACTGACCTGCCTCGCGCACATTCCAAACATCTTGAATCGAATGGGATGTGTCCCTGACGACGGTGTTTTGCCAGGTCCTCATCAAACTTCGTGAGTGGACACAAAGAAACACTTGCCTGAGTCCTGGTCAGCTCACCGCCTGCATACGATTGGTCCTTCTCAAGGCAACTAGACACTATGAAGTCAGGATGCAAGCGTACCCAAGGACAGTTGGAGAAATAAGCAGTGTCCACACAGTGCAAGTTCAGTTGAGTGTGGTATAAATCAAATCCTGAGGGTCCTTGCGTGAACTTCCATCCAGAGTCGGCCAGTGCTGAAATGCTGAGTATGTTATGCTTGATATTCCCCACAAGAA